ACTCTTAGATGTAGGCCAAAGAAAAGAAAAGCAGACATTATTGATCTCACTGATCTTACCTTTTTGAAATAACTCTAAAAAAAGAAAAAGAAAGAAAGGCTGAAATAAATATGGAAGATCCCCATCATAGACACAGCAGTTTTAAAATGCATTCTGTTAGCAATGCAGAATGCCCCTGAGGAAGATGGGTGGTTCAAAGAATGTGAAAACTAAATAAATAAATAAAAAAGTGATGGGATAAAAGCTTTGGCCAAAATGGGCTCAAGAATATTGAGAAAGATCTTGGGGGGGGGGGGAGAATGCTTGTATTCAGTTTGTACTAGTATAATTCAATTATTTTTTGTCTGAAGAGGGAAAGTTTGGATGCAAGAAAGAGTTAATGGGGCAATAGTTTTGACTTGAACTGTTTCTGCATTTGATATGTTTTATTTAAAGGGCATGATGTTTTGAACTAAATTGGATTTCACGTATACCTCAAAGAGTCACCCTATCCCTTTGTTTGCCCCCTTCACTTACAAAGGCTCTTCCTTCACTTTGCACTTCTAATACGACATGCTAACATTCCAGTGATTCCTGCCAAAGACTGGACTGCATTTTAATAACTTGGAATCACAGGCTTCATTTTTGCCTCTGGCCATTTCTGATCATCTCCCCTTATATAATCAGGCTGGTTTGGCCCAGGAAGAATGGTGCCGTTAGAACTCTGAAGTGGGAGTGACTTTTTTTTAATCAAGTGAAAATAACATTGAAATGCATTGCAAGTATTTCATAAAATTAATGGAAATTTAAAAAAAAATTTGGAGAATGCATTAGAATGGTGTTATGTACTAAAGTGTACTGGGAACAAATAGCAATGCGTGGAAACTGTTTTTATAAAGACATTTTGGAAGCCACAATATGGAGGTTATGTCTGGAGCAAATGAGTGAGTAGTATTTCCTTAACAAACAAATACTGTTCTCCCTCGTAGTTGTCTTCATCCTCTGCCATCCAGCTTTTAATATGCAGTTTCAGAATTCAGATACACTTTATGAAAGCAATTATTTATAATGAGCTAAGGTGCTCTGTCAGATACTATCACTGCAGTGTGTCAGGCTCAGTGGCCTTAGGTTTTGTTTTAAGCGTTTTGTATCTTCACATTTAGTAAACCACTTATAACATGTTTTCATAGACATATGAAAGCCATGTTTGTTTGATGTGATGAACATGTGAATCTGTGCCTGTTACCATAGGTGGCAGTTTCTTTTTCTTGAAATAAAGTGGGCTGCATGCTTTGTCATGTTTATCTTACATCCTGTAAGACTACTTTTTTCTTTCTTTTTTATTAACTTCTCTCCCACGCTAATATATGATGAAGATTTATTTATTTATGTGAGGTATCTGCCACCTCAATTCAAGATGATGAGCACAGTGGTATTTCACACTGAGACACAATGTCATCTCTCATGTTCTTCCAGCAAGAAAGGATGATCTTGGATGATCATTAGAGTAGACCCAAAGTAATTAGTTTTTGCGACACCTGGATTTTTTTTAACCCTCAACGTGTCTTACCTGCTGATTGGGGTTGAGGGAGGTTGACATCCTTATCATCTGGACAAGTGCTAGATTATCAGCTATTGGAAAAGATTAGATTAGAATTTATATGGACAAATAGTGTATTCTGGTATAATTTGTTTTCTATCTACTTAGCTTCTGGTACAAAAGCTAATTTGTGAAGGATACAGTTTGCCTTCTCCTGAACCAGTTTTCTGCCCATCCTAAATAACTTCTAAATGTTTCTTTATGTAAAAGGACATTTACAAATGTGTCCAGTGTATTGGAGCAAGAAAAAGAAATAGAGCTGCAAGGCAGTGGTACCTAAATATATGTATTTTAAGTTTTGCTCTTTGAGGAATAAGAAAAGGAAGGGTTGATGAACCCATTTTGTTTGGTTATGAGGATTAGCAAGGGATTACTCTCGTGCTTGCAAACATTATCTCTTCAATACAAGGATAAGAACTTACTAGGTTTGAAACATGAAAATTCTCATTTTGAGGAAGGATTGTTCTGTAAGCCATTGCCTGCTACAATTTTCATGTCCTTTTTCTGAAATCATTTTCTATTGCAAATGGACAATATTCTTAATCTTAAACAGACTTTTAGTTTGCAGGTATTGGGATTGGGAAAAAATACCATATTTTTTCTCCTTGAATGATATCTAGAGCAATTCAAGAGTTAAAATGAAATACTTATTCTAGAATCCAGAGCTTAAAATGACTGGGAATGTCATAATGTTCTGCCAAGACACTTTCCTCCTCTATCACCTCCTCCTCTCCTCCTCCTCCTGGAGTTGCTTTACATTAAATGTGTTACCAGGTCAGTTTTTTAAAAGCTTTTTATTTTTTTTTTTATAAGATTGCATATGACTTTATGGAATTTTAGATTACAAAGCTATCATTTTGGGTAATATAAATGAACAAATTAATACAAAGTATTTTATAATACAAAGAACCAGTCAAAAGGTTTAGCAATATCATGATCATAACAGCTAAGTTTTAGATGTAATAGAAAGAAAGCAAAATGGTAACAATAACTAGGCTTACTGTATATAAAGGTCATTTGGATTTTAGAAAAAAATAAAAATAAAGGTTATGTTGGCATTGACAAGATCACTATAAGTCAATTGCAAAAGGAAGCTTTATTCAGAAAAGCTTACATACTATTACAATACCGTTAACACCAAAAACATCCACCTCTGCCTATCCCAGTCATTGGGAAGGATTTGATAGGTGAACAAAAGTGCCAAATCCAGACTGAACTTCTGGTTGACTCTGCAATGAACCATAATAATAATAACTTGATAGGTGGATAAGAGTGCCAAATCCAGTCCAAACAATTATACAACAAATATCATCATCATCACTATCACCACCACCACCACCACCACCATCATCATCATCTTGATGGGTGGAACTAGATTACTCCCCATCAAGCCAGCACTGGTCAACTTCTTTGGTTGAGGATAAGTATCAGAACTAGGTGCAGATAATACTATTATGTATGTATGTATGTATGTATGTATGTATGTATGTATGTATGTTTGTTTATTTATTTATTTATTTGTTTATTTAATATTTACTATTTCTAGACTGCCCATCTCCTCAAAAAAGTACTCTGGGTAGTGTATAGTACAATATCAGAATATAAAAAGTACATAAAATTACATTAAATTTCACAAAATTAAAATACACAACATTGGAATATAGGGACAGGTCCTCCTGGAGAAAATCTATACCAGGGGTGTCCAACCTTGGCAACTTTAAGACTTGTGGACTTCAACTCCCAGAATTCCTCAGCCAGCTGTTGGCTGAGGAATTCCGAGAGTTGAAGTCCACAAGTCTTAAAGTTGCCAAGGTTGGACACCCCTGATCTATACGGTAACAAAGAATTGACATTGACTTGAAGGCAAACAATCTGTCAGTCAGTTGACCAACCAACCAACAAATCTACCAAATCAACAAAACAAATGAACAAACCACCCTGTTGGAACATTCTTTTCCAACACGTTAAGAATATTGAACTAAACTTGGCATGTTCCCACATTGCAGGGCATCATACTGAGTAGGCTGATAATAGGCGTGGAGTCTTCAGTATTTAATAAGTATTTCCAGTGGCATACTCCTCTATTCTGGGTTATAAAAGGCTCTTTAAATAGATGGGAACTATTGTACAGCATTTTGATAACTGAACTGTCTGCCTTAATGAGAGAGGTACATTACAGAGCGTATAGAACAGTGTTGTAAAAATTGTGTGTTGAAAGTAAGAATCACCTTGGAGGTCTTCTACTCCAACCCTCTGCTTGAGCAGGATACCTTATGTCATTCTGTACACATGGTTGTCTAATCTCTTCTTGAAACTCTCCACTGATGGAGCACCCACAATTTCAGGAGGCAAGCCATTACACTGATTGATTGTTTCTTCTGTCAGGAAATCTCTCCTTAGTTCCAGATTGGATCTGTCTTTAATGAGCTTCCATTCATTACTTCTTGTCCTGCTCTAAGGAGCTTATAAGTCACCTCCTTTTTTCTGTGATAGCCCTCAAGTATTGGAAGACTGCTCACCCCTAATCTTCTCTTTGTTACACTAGACATACCTAGTTCCCTTAACTGTTCCTTGTATGGTTTAGCCTCCAGACTCCGTAATCTTCTTGTTGCTCTTCTCTGTACTCTTTCTAGAGTCTAAGCATCTTTTTTGTATCGTGGTGACCAGAACTGGATACAGTGTTCAAATGTGACCTCATTAGTGCAGTATAAAGCAGTATTATCACTTCACGTGATCTTGATACTATCCTTTGATGCTGCCTAGGAGTGCATTGGCATTTTTGGCACTGCAGCACATTTATTACGAGGCATATTTAAGTGGTGGTCCACCATAACACCTACATCAATCTCATAGACACTACTATTGGACCAGGTACCATCTATTGTGCATTTTGTTTTGTTGCCTAAGTGCAGGTACTGTTCTCGCCACTGAATTGCATTTGTTCGATAGGGCCCAGTGTTCAAATCTGTCAAGATCCTCTTGAATGTTGAGTCTATCTTCCAAAGTGCTAACAATTCCCCCCACGTTGAGGTCATCTGAAATAATAGTGTTATAGGCAGCATTTCATTCACAGAATGTGCATATATTGTAAGTATATGCAATTTAAATTATGAGAGGAAATTTAAAAAGAATAATTGCAGAGATCTAATTTTATTCTGGCAAAGCAATATAATTCTTAATTTTTACTCGAATAGAACCCTCATTTGTATAAGAAAGGCTGGGGAACATTAATAGTTTAATAGATTAATAGGAAATTGTGTTAATATAATTGACTCAAACATCTACTTTACATTGCTAAATTCCTTCTTTTTAAACAAATAGAAGCTGGGAGCTTTGAAGTTTTGTAAGCAGAAATATTTAATTGTTTCTTTCTGTGCTTTTCATTTTTAAAACAGGAAACATCTTTTTTTTGTATCTGCAGAATATTTTAGCTCTCAACCCTCGTATACAAACTCATGCATCTTTGAAATCAACTGCAGCAAAGAAAGTAGAGAAAAAGCACTGGAAAAGGAATGCAGATAAAAACTGTTCAGTAAGTATCACAACTATTATTATTAACTTTGGATCTGGGTGAAGGCTTAATTGTACACTAGATTGCAATAATTGTATATAGCAGTAAGCAAACATTGTGTTCTTTATTTTCCAAATTGTGGTTTGTAATCTTGCTTTGGAGAGATTTTTTTCAATCTATTTTTTTAAATGGCTCAAATGACATGGCAAGTAGAGGTTTAATGAACTTATGAACTGTCAAATCAATGCAAGATAGGATAGAAGGGAACATGACAACTAGCAGATCTGGCTTCTCTATCCTACAGCCTCCTTGCACTAAATGCCTTACATAAAGGATTGTGGAAGACAGAAAAAAAGTCTTTCCTTTTTCTTTTTTTGGAGGTATTAGCATCCGCTTGATTTAAAAGAGCATCTATTGTGTTTTTATTTATGACTGTTTTGATTACTCTGTTAGCTTGCTAGGCTGGACATAAATAATTGTAATAAATATAGAGAGAGAATAGGATAAAGCTCGGTTTCATGCATGCTTTTATGTCTGGGTATTATTGGAAAATGATGTCCTTTTGTCCTGGCTACAGCTCTGACAGGAAGCAAAAAATATTCTGAAATATTCAGGTTTCCAATCTTGGACATTTTAGGATAGAGGAAAAAGGATGTTGCTTCCCTGATTATCAACCCTGAAAGACAGAGGGAGTGGCATCTGAGTTGCTGCTTACAATTCCTTTTCCTTTTCTTTAAAACCACTATAAGTAGCAGAGATGTGTTACCTCAGATCAGAACACAGATTTAAGTGTTTTATGAGAAGCCATGTGGTATAGCGGTTAAGAACTTTAGGACCAGGAAAATCCAGGTTCAAGTTCACTTAAGACATAGAAACTCACTGGGTGATTTTGGCTGAATCATTCTCTTTCATCCCAAACCTACTTAACAGAATTGCTATTGTGGGTATAAAAATGAAGGAAATTCCCATGTAAGCTGCCTTGAGCTCCTGGAGGAAAGGTAGGATATAAATCTAATAAAATGAATAAAACAATGTGGCAGGGATTGTTGATTTTGAAATAATGCCTCAGGCTTGTTAGCTCTGGTGGGAGTGACGAAAGAAACTATGAATGATTTAATGAGCCATTTGCAGTTATACTGCTGTGGAGGCATAAAAATAAATAAATAAACTTTGTGCAGTATATTAACATAAACATTTCCTTTCCAGAATATCTTTAGGTTGAAATATGGTAACTCTAATTAAGAACAAAAACAAAAATATATCTAAAATCCTACTGGGTGATACTTTTAGTATATTGGAATGAAGCCTTGATCTTAAGGGTACGTTTACAAATTTTGAGAGGATGTAGTGGGTGCCTATTTACAATATGTCTGCCCGAGCATGCGTGGCCAATCACAAATCATCCTTATCAGAAGGCAAACTAATCCCCAAGAGTATTTTATAAGTATTTTATAATTCCAGTAGAGTTTAAAGTAATTCCTATGTAGGTAGAAATACAGTATTATGTTTACTTAAGTTTTATGCTTGATATTGTAAACCCAACATGAATCTTTTTGGAATGTGTGTGTGTGTGTGTGTGTGTGTGTGTGTGTATTCATTCATTCATTTACGAAGCAAGATTGGCACACTGTCAGCATTCCATTAGTAGCTTTCAGTGCCCTATAAGAGTGGCTCCCAACCTTTTGGACACCAGGGACCGGTTCCATGGAGAGAGATTTTTCCATGGACCGGAGGGGGTGTGATTTCACATGCTGCCTGTATCCCACAGATGGGGCTTCTCTTGTTTGCATGGCCTGGTTTCTGGCCTGGCGTGGCCAGGTACAGGTCCATTGACTGGAGAATGGGAACTCCTGCCCTAGAATTACACCAAGTCTTCCTTGAGTGGGCAAATGTTGGAATAGAATGATGGTCAGGCACCAGGAGCGGAAAAGAAATGAACGAAGTGTTGAAGAGTTTGAGAAAAGATTACTAATTACTGGAGGAGAAAAAACATATGAAAGAAACAACAACAACAACAAAAATCTTTATTTTATATAAGACATGATAGAGACTTTCAAGATTCTTTTATAATATCCTATAAAAATAAAGAGCATTCTTGAAATCCCTTCTGCTCTTGTTTCTTTCTCTTGTGGTACTTTCCAATTCACATACAATTGGCATGTAAAAGATAATCTGCCCACAGAAGTGGAGATGGTGTGGACAACATTTCCGAATGCAGTTTTCTGGAAAATAAAAGAAAAGCAGGGGGTAAATGCTTTTAGTTTTGCAAGATTATGTTAAATAACCTTACCATAACAATAAAGCCAGTCCTGGTTATGCTTCTTGTCTAGTCTACCTGGTGGGGCTAACACAAATTATCCTAATTTACAGTAAATGGCTCACTATTCAAAGACATTCTTCATTTCAGAAATGGGGAAATATGTCACTGAACTACAATTCCCAGTATCCCAGACTAAAAAGCTCATAGTGAGAAATGATAGCAGTTGTCCAGGAACACCTAGATAATTTCCCTATTACTTTGTGGATACCCAATGGAGCATACTTTTATATACACTTATATTTTTATATGAGTATATGCAAATATATCTATGGCATTCAGCTTTGTTCGGGTATTTTCCCACGTGATTGTAGTTGTGCTTTTAAAGTTGTAGCAATGTTTCGGCAGAATCTCATGTGCCATCATCAGGCTTCATCAGCCTGATGATGGCAGATGAGATTCTGCCGAAACGTTGCGACAACTTTAAAAGCACAACTACAATGATGTGGGAAAATACCTGAACAAAGCTGAATGCCATACATGTAAGTACCTGTGAAAACTTAAGAAAACAAGTATATCTATGTATATACAAGTATATTTAAGTATATAAGTTGGCAATATTAGCTATACATTAGCACCTGCACATTTTGTTAAAATATTTTACTCTTGTGGTGAGAGGCATAAGTGGCCTGTTTCCTTGTGTGAGTCAGTGACTTTCTGGTTTGAGGTTGATGATGGGAAAAAGGATCAGATGGGAGAATAAGTAGAGAACGTTGGAAAGAGTTATGATGGCGTAGTGATTAGAATTCTGCTGAGTGCAGAATTAGATTCTCGACAGCTCAAAGTTGACTCAGCTTTCTTCCTTCCAAGATCTGTAAAATAAGGACCCAGAGAGTTGGGGGCAATACACTAACTCTGTAAACCGCTTAGAGAGGGCTGTATAAAGAACTATTGACTGCATTGACAATTCTTCATTATATGTGCATGTCTTAGCTTAGTACTGTAGATACTGGAGCAGGAGTTTTTAAGACTGAGAAAATGAAGGACATTTTCCCCACCCCTTAGCCTAGTAAATAAGTAGGGGCCCAAACTTTCAGGAAAAAAATGTTGAACCATTTGATCATGTCAAGAAGCTTGTTTTGAGTTTTTTCTTTCTGGGACATTTGCACCACATAGACCACCTTTGTAGAACATTTGGATCCAATGCAATATCTTTGGGGTGGATTAACTATTTAAACACCAGTCCTATTTGTATTAAAATTATATACAATTAATAGCAATTCTATATAGGTTGCTCTGTAATCATTATTTGGTAATCATAATCCAGCAGTAATTTCACATATATATAATAAAACACTACTTCTATGAAATCTTTGTCTTTTTTAAATCATAAGTACTAACCAATAATTGGTATATTCTCCCATGAGCTGTTCAGAGCATCCAGGGATGGGAAGGTGCTTCAGTCCCTTCTAGGAAGGCTGGGCTTAAACTTGAGGACACTCCTCCTCCTCCACGAGACTCCTCCTTAGCATCCCCAGTTTTAGCTCAGCCTTTCTTCAGACAGGTTGTGTTATTGTTTTCCTGGTCGGAACAGAACACTGGCGATTTAGCTGATTTAGCTGATTTATTTATCAGCTAAGGTAAAACCATAGTTTCTGTCACCAACTACCCCCACCACCCCTGGGAACTTCCAAAAGTCATTTTGCTTGGTTTTTTTTTTTTTTTACGTTCCAGCCTCCAAAGGCTAAAGCCTCATAAACGCAGAGGCTTATCTTTCCAATCTGCCCTGAGGCTAAAAGCCTCTCGTTTCAGAGACCCTGCCTTAAACTTCCAAAAAAGGAGGCTTATCTCTCCAATCTCTCAGCCGGCTGAGTAAACGCTCTGTCCCTTCAAGGTTTGAAGCTTCAATTTAAAAGTGCAGCCTTTTTTCCTTTTATCGAGGCTCGAAGCCCCAATTTAAACAGTACAGCCTTTTTTCCTTTTATTACGAGGCTTTCCCCGCAGAATACCTCAGGGCAGGGAATTAGCCCCTGTGCCTTCCCACTGAGCGGTTTTGCTTTCAGCAGGCCGGGCAGTGGTAGCTGCTTTTGTTTTCATTGTGCCACGAGGCAGCCACCTTTTTAAAGGCCGCATGGTTAAATTTGCTGAGTAATTGTTACTGTCTATGAGGCAAGTTACCCAACAAGGTTTCCTTTCTTGGGGACCTGGGAAGGGGAGTCCCTACCACCAGTCCACTGGATGGTAGAGGACTTGAAGGATGAACACCCTCAGCTTTGGTTTGCGGATCTCTTTCTGAACGATCTCGGGGCATCATGGATGCACATCTTCATCAGGTACCCCTGTTAGGAATGTAAGCCACCTAACAGTTGGGTTGGAAATATATAAACCAGGATAGACATTTTAATACTGTCTCTTTAAGGGAATGCTGAAATTGTAATTGGGTGTGGTTCCTCAAACAGCCATAAGATGGAGCCAGAAACCTGGGTTGTTTAGTCCTGAGTGTTGCTAATTGCTATTTGGTCGATGTTTTGATGTTCACTGTTTTTGGTTCCTGCATTTCCCTATTGGCTGTTGCTGATCATCGTTATTCTTGGATTGATGTGAGTCTATTACTGAACTGTTTTTGATACTGGACTTTATTATTGGATTATCCCGGGACTGAAAACTGACTTCTATAACCGTGTATGACTTGGACTGTTTGTTGGACTTTTCTTAACTGTTTACTGGAAGTAAAAAACTACATTTTACTATACAGTGTATCTGT